GAATAAAATCAGCACACGTTTCCGTAAATGAAAGGGTGAACATACGCAAATGAATCGAAGGAAACCGGTCATTAGAGATCACCTGTCATCGAGTATTCCGTAAAAGGAGGCCTCGCAGCTCGGCAGCAGAAAAGCAAAATTTAGAAAAGAGATCCTGTCAACTTTTCCATTATTTATTGCATTCCGCCCCAAAATCAGCACACTTTTCCTGAATGAAAGAGTCAACACAAGCAAATGAATCAAAGGCAACTGGTCAACTCACCTGTCATTGAGTAATATTCCGCAAAAGGAGGTCTCAGCAGCGCCGAAACGAAATAAGACAGGCCATGAGACGAAATATCCGAAACAGCTCATGCAAGAAGCAGTTCCAAAGAAGGAAGTTCCTCGCGCATGCACATCCGAACACGGATCCGCGGACTGTACTGCATGCATGCACTGAACACAATGTCTGCCGTGCACGTGCACAGCACACGGCTACCACGCGTTGGTAGATCTAATACCGAGCACCTTACGTAGAGACTTACGTAGCCTAAGTGAAATACCGAGCACCTTACGTAGAAACTTACGTAGCATAGCGATGTCGTTTTTTCTGCCATGTGAACACAATAATAGAAAAGCTGACAGGATCGCTTTTCTAAATACCAGGGGTGTCACAGGGCAAGGGGATGGGAGGGGTACGAGGGAGGTCCGGGAAGTGTCCGGGAGGGGGTAGGGGGGGGGGGGGGTTAGGATCGGATCTTTTGGCCACTAGATCATGTTTTTGGGCTCTACAGTTACTCTCGGCGGACCATTCTAGATGAAAAGTGGTATGGCTATGGTGGTATTGGTCGTACCATGTTTGACGCCCCTGCATACCCCGGCATGCGTATAGAACATGCATGCGTGTGTTCTTCATTGAAGCTTGGTCCTGTGGATGGGCTGAACACTGCAGGCATTCCATGTTTTGATATTGGCGGATGTTCATGCATGTCGACGACGATACTGGCAAAACCCCTTGGACAATACCGTCAAACCACGATTCAAGGACGCAAAGTAACATTCCACACAACTTGTGTGTCGCAAAGATGCGAAGATCAAAAAAGGAATCATGCCAAACTGAACCCCTCAGTAAAACAGCACTGTACTTCGACTATGACAATTTGGATGGACGACAAGCAGCGGTAACAAGCAGAAGTCTCACACGATGATCGTTTCGCTTTATAGATAAGGAGCTTGTTTCCATTTAATATTATTTTTCCTTGGCTCCCCATCTGACTATTTTTTAATTTTTTTTATGTTGCAAATTATTTGCTTGTATTTGACGGCCGTGTATACAGAGTTTGAAGCAGATTGGACAAGGGCAAATGATTTTTAAAAAAAAGGATAGGGAATATATACACTTTAGGCGAATTATCCAAAAGGCAATTGACTCATAACCATGTATAAACAATTAAAATGAAACAATTCCAGAACGTTTTCGTGTGACTATCATCAGTGGAACATCGTCACATAGTAAGAATCACTAAAACAACCAGTTATATAGCTAGAGTAATATGAAAAGAAGCGTGAGAGTGCAGCACAGCTAGTGGTTATGCATAGCGCGTGTAGTGTGAACCTTTGCAGTGTATCTGAGAATGGTAGCAGTAGATGAATGTGGCAGCTGTGAGTGCGTGTGGACAAAACTGGTGAGTGCGTATTATTTAAAAAGTGTGAGTGCTACAACATTTTCTTTTTGCTTGCATAGAACAGGGTCACGTGTGCGAATATATACAGCATTCCAACATCTGCAACTGCTCAAAGAAACATGCGGAACAAATAACACTAAACCAGGAATCGTCAAACAACTTACGACAATCCGGACTGGACACCAAATGCTTGTAGATGGCAGACCTGCTCTTGTCGATGTCAAACTCCTCCTCGTCAGTATCACTCTCATCCTCCACTTCCCGTTTCCGCTCACCCTTGCTTTCCTCCTGACCATCCTGTTCATCCCCATCATCATCCTCCATCTCCATCTCCTCATGCCATCGCTTCTTTCTCCTTGACGTGTTCACTGCTGCGCCCGTTCTTTCACCTGCCGCTACTGGTTCCGCCTTCTCGATTTTTCTCAGTCGTGTCCCCGCTAGTCTCTGGCTTCTCATCAGATTCGTTTTTCCTCCATTTTCGTTTCGTTCTCCTGGTGATCTTTCTGTTACCGCCGTCTGGTTTGTTAACGAACGATCGTCCGGCGGTCTCCCATGTGGTGTTGTCGTCAAGAGTGACACCAGATTCATGTGTTGCGCTCCTGTTGATTACCATGTATACAGCAGAGATGGCACCACCTCAGGGTGCATAATGTACGCACATTTAGCATGAACCCTTCATATCGACATCGGAGAACATAAGAGTTTGACAACCACAACCGATACGTAGATGATTAACGATCGTCCCGGCATTCAAAGTTGCTCGAGCAGTAGTAGCATGTTGAAAAACCAACATCCTGCGTTGTCGATGTGAACACCTCTGCTCCTTGTCTACTTCGTTGGCTAGATCTTTGGCAGGAAGTCACAGCCATTTCTGAGTCGGCATCTAAGCCATTCGCGTTGTTGGGGCCAAAAGAACGGGTCCTCAGCCTTGAGTAGTCCTTGCTTCGCCTCATGAACTCCAGGAAATTTACTAATGCGATGGTGAGCTACTCTGCCTACCCACTCAACACATGAATATTTCAACGAAGCGCGATCGATCGCTGTTAAAAGTTGTGAATTATTTGCAAGCGCTCCCAGTTCAGCGCCTGCCAGCGCAGCCTAGCACAACTGTTTCTCTGGTACAGATTTGAATAGAGATAAAGCAAGAACCACCTGAGGTCGAACTGAGTTAGCAGTACATGAAAGACTGGAATCAGCAAGAATTCGACTCCTTTTTTTTTTTAAAGGACTCGACTACGCAAAAACATGATTTTCTCCATTTGTTCGGCAAAAGCTATAGGCCAATTTGAGCTTATCAGGGCTCAATTATTCTCGAGCGCTGAATAATGTGCTGGGATTCATAGGGCTTTAACTTCTCAGATTGCGCGGAACATCTGCACTATTTCAGAAATATGAAACTCTGATGTTGAGCCAATAATAAATGTAGAAAGGAAAAGGACATAATTATGGATATGAAGTAGGGCTCAATTGCTTACTGCTATACAAAAGCGTCCTGAAAAAACTCCTAGACCAACTGGGAGCTCTCAGAGAGCGAATATTAGAAGGTACGACCTCCAAAGTGTTGGATGGTGGTCATGAATATCACCATTTTCATACAAAAACTTATCCCGGGGCCTGCATCCATTATTTCCCAAAGGTGCTTGCCCATTTTTTCGCCCTTTTTGGCACTTTTTGGAAAAGCCCGTTTCTTTCGCCGTTCACTGCGTTTTTTGGTGAATATCGCCCCTTTTGAGCTTTTTAGCTGAAAAAGTGCTAAGATCTGTTTGCTCATGCATGCGATCACAGTTACTGAGTGCTCAATGCATCGATATGGGCCTTTGCACGCCGCTTTTTTGGGGGGCAACAAGTTGGTGAAGCTTGTACCCGGTACTGCGGTGTACACAATGTGGGTTTTTGGAACTTTACTTCCTGTTTTGCCTTTCTGGGACCCATAAATGGAAGAGTGCGTATTCCTTTCTCAGCTTGGGTTCATATCTGAACATGTATTATGGCTGTGCTTCACTGGAAAATGAGCACTTTTGGCCTGTTTTCACTGAAAAAAGAGCACCTTTTCAGCATATTTTGAGGGACGCGAAAAGCACTATAGTCAGTTTCAAAAAGATTAGCAATCCTGGCGATCGCCCGTATGAGCGCTCGAGCGCTGCCTGGAAAAACTCACTGTGAACTCGAAGAAATATTCCACGCGAAAGCATGAAAAACGACAACTCACGGACGTCGGTACTTGTAAATATGTTCGTCTGGTTTACAACAAACGAGTTCTTCCTCGCATCGATATGGAGTCAGAGAGGACATGTCGAAAGTGTGGTAAATTTTGAGGAGCGGGATGCGTCCGTTTTGTGACCAAATAGATTCTTTCAGCTGCCGCGGATTCAATTTACTCTCATGATGTGGCGAAAACGGCATCCACATTTGCTCATAAATACAAGCTTACTGTGTGCTTGTGCAGTGTATGTATGTATGTATGTATGTTTTTATTTGAATTCGCAAGTACACACGGGCAACAAGCCCAATTACATGGAAGCGAATGTCAGTCTGCATCATGGCTGGACAATTGTTGGCCACCGTAGATTTGCATCAGCCATACCAAACGCATACTGTTAGACCAGTAACGAACATTTAATTCTAACGATTTAACGAATTTAGAAAATAACATTTGAAGTCGCTATGTACAAACGATATGTACATGTACAGTCATTTGCCGGTATTAGGGAGGTTTCGCTCTACGTAATTACGTATGAAAATCCGTATGTCGTACGCGCCGGGGAGCGAGGGCAACTTTCATACGTAAATCTCTCTACGGATTTCCGTAGGAAAGCTCTTTCCTACGTTGGGTCCTCCGTAGGACTTTTTGAAATATTTTTTCGCATTTGTCCATGGCAACATTCAAGCCGCGCGAAACACAAGGTACACACACCGTACACCACATGCAAAATATAATGGAAAATGCGGTTTCGGTTCACGGTGCATGCGGCGGGCGCATGCAGCCAACGCGTCTTCAAAGCAACAACGCGTGTTTAGCAGTTGTGGAGAAATCACGTAGAGCGAAACCCAACAGCTCTGATTTTTCCGTATGAAAATTCCGTGCAGTTCATACGTTATTTTCATACGTAATTCCGTAGAGCGAAACCTCCCTATTGAGACGGAATTCGTTAGAATTTCACCTTGCTAGCCCACAAAAATCCGGATACCGTTAACTTTAATTGATGTTAAATTATCTGGTCTTACAGTAGCAGTGCTTGCACTGCTATCTATGGCAGTCTACCGGTCATAATTGTCCTATCCTGTATCTACCTATCCTTTCACCCATTCCCGGCCCCTATCTGTCGCCTACTACAGATGTTATGGTACATACTCCCAACCTGACCAGCATCTCCATGCAGTATGTCATCCAATATTTTGATGTAAAGGTGGAGTACTACGACCAGGTGGCAGACGAGTGGGTTGAAACGCAAACCTTCACGTCCGACTTCAGACACATTCCATACCGCATTCTGATGCCCGTCGGACACCAGGGCACGTATTTCCGATCGCGGATCAGTATGCACACCCCGTGGCGCTACACAATATCACTCGCCTACACCGGCACCCCACCAACAGGTGAGACCCCGTCAGGCTGTACCCTAAAACTTGAGCTTGCCACTCGCATCAAGAGTACATAACCCCCAAGAGTGTGCAACTGCCTGCGCAACCTATAGGGTGCTGCGATGACAGAACTTCACTTCACTTGGCACGGTCCAAAACGTTACGCTGGCAAGCAGTGCAAAGTGACCACAAGCGAGTTGAACGCAAAGCAGGGTTGCGTACGACCCTGCATCTATCATGCACAGGGTACAAATGTGTGCGAGTTTCATCAGGTGATGTGAAGTTCTGCCGCCCCGGACCCCATGGCTGGAGTTGCACATTCTTAGTTGTTATGTAGTCTTGCTCGAATTTAGTACTTTACCATCTCGTGAACAGCCTCTTTACTGTGAACACAGACTTTGCATTCACCAGATTATCGACCAGGCTCAGCATCAGAGTGGAAAGGGTTTGCGAAATGGAGAACTTCTAAGCATGCAAGTAGCTGTGCTTGAGTTAACGGACAAGTCAAAAATCTTTAGCAATCCATGTGATAACATACCTTTCTGGGGTGTCCGTTTTTCCGGATGCTTAAAACTCAGTCTAACTCGAGCGTTATTTTTTTTTTTTTTCGGCGGGACATGGTTTCTTAACAGACTGTTCAAAAGTTGTCGTGATAGTTCTTTTAGAAGTGTAAACCGGTGCTGTACCATTATATCTGATTTTGCCAGTCAATGTCATGCCGGGCGCTATGCAGGCCAAGGTCGGGGATTATAGAGTTTTGTCCCCCGTGCAGGGCGCGAACTGGACTGATGCAATCGGATTTAATTTTAAATGACTCGGATGGAGACCCAATGGTGATTATAAATGAGCACAACCCTGTGCACTGTACAGATTTCTGTCGCGGACGGTATTGGCTTTTTGATGTCCACAACATCACTTTCCTACAACGACCAACGTTGCATTGCACTAGGTGTACCTGAACTTGACATGTGTTGGAGTATAAGTCAGATCATGCAGGGTACAACCTGCGCTGACCGGACATCCTCGGTGCAGCGGAGCCTGTCCTGCTATGACAGGATTCCGCTTGATCCAGGGATGCACGTTCGATCCACAGCACTTTGATGCACAGAAATTGTCCCGTCAAAACATTGGTTGTGTTTATTTAAATTCGCAAACCGAACGGACTGAACATGTCCAATGACAAGGAAGCGAATGAAGTCCAAATAACCCAGGAATGGGGACAGAAATGAAAAGAAAATAATGGGAACAGAAGGCTCTCGGCAAAGGAAGAAGAGAAAGGAAGGAAAGAAATAGAATAATGGAGAAGAAGAAGATGAAGAAGAAGAAGAAGAAGAAGAAGAAGAAGAAGAAGAAGAAAAATCGTGGTCACGGCGAGAAGAAAGCTTTTAGCAAAAAGACAAAGGAAAGGATGAAGGAGAAAATGGGGAGACACATTGTGGTCACGGCCAAAGCCGGAGTAGCGGCAGGACACAGTAGACAAAACACCACCAGGAATAAGCACGCATGAAGCATGGGCCATGCCGGCCCAGAAGCGGGAGACCCCGAAAGGAAGAGAGAAGAGAAGAGAAGAGAGAGAAATCGAAGCATTGCACATCTACATGTACGCCCACACATCCACACATCCACATACCCACACATCCACACACCCACACATCCACACACCCACACATTCACACATCCACACACCCACACCTACACCCACAAACACACACACATACATGTACATGTACATACCCACACTTACGCACCAATACACACATACTCAGACATATACCCCCCCCCCCACACACACACACGCACATGCGCGTGCACACACACACACACACACACACACACACACACACACACACACACACACACATGTACATTGACAGCCACACATACAATTGCTTTGCAATGTTCTCAGTTCATAGAAGAAACGGGACTGCGGCAGCACGGAACTGACGAGGAACAGAGATGGAGCGAATACTGCTTGGCAGGTTGTTCCAGCATAGCGCACCCTGGAAGGCGAATGTCCCCTTTCCAGAGTTGCTGCGGGCGGGTGGCAGGCAGAGACCCATGCTGGAGTCCAGGCGCGTGGACCGGCCACAAGCTGGCAGTAAGAGAACCTGAAGCTCAGGACTTGCTTGGCCGTAACGGCAGCGCCATGCAAGGAATGCCAGCTTCTGCTTGTACACTTCGGTAACCCGATACAGTGAGAGGCGCTCCAGTCGGTCATGTGCGGATGTCCACGGCGGGCGTCCGAACACTACACGGGCACCACGGTTTTGCAGAACCTGTAGTCGATGACAGTGCCTGGCTGCCAGAGATGTCGAAAATGCATTTGATCCATATAGAAGATCGGGCATTATGATGGACTGGAAATAAGTTATCCGACCCTGTGTGCTGAGGCAACGCCGCATCCTCCACAGGACTCCGATCTTTCGTGATACACGGTTTGCTCAGCGGGTTACGTGGTCATCCCAAGACATGTTGCTATCAAATGTTAGGCCAAGGTACCTGGCAGACTCCACAAGAGGCAGCAGGGTCCCGTTACAGTTCACCGAGAGTGGAGTATGCTTCTCAGGTAGGTTCCCGGAAATGGAGATCACCTGGCTTTTGGAAGCATTCAGGATCAAGCCACGGTTGTTTAGCCAGTTAGCAATAGCTGAAGCTGACGCAGACAGAATTGCAGACACTTCAGACTTACCGTATTTCCGCAAATAAAAGGCCGTCCTCGTATACAACGCCTTCCTCGTATACAAGGCCGGGGCAGGGGGCGATTGAAAAAATAAAAGACCGTCTCCGATTAGAAGACCAGGCCTACTAAATGAGTCTTTGTTCTTGTGTTAAAAATAGAAGACCGTGCTCAAATTGTGTAGCAGAAAATGGGAGAACGGGGGTAAAACTGTGTGGCGAGAAATAGAAGACCGGGGGGTCAAACTGGGTTGAAAGAATAAAAGACCGCCCTCTAATACAAGACCGTCCTTGATTATAAGGCCGGGTTAGGACGAGGTTGAAAAAATAGTAGACCGGCCTACTATTTGTGGAAATACGGTAGTCGGTTTGCTGCAAGTGAGACCAATGTCATCTGCAAACTGCAAAGACAAAGCTTGTCCAGCAACATAGGGTATTTCCCGAGTGTATATGTTGAACAAAATGGGGCCGAGCACAGATCCCTGTGGCACTCCGCAGGTGCAGAGAGTGATAGTGCTGCGTGATGGTCCAATACACACACGCTGGGTTCGTTCGGAGAGGTAAGAAATGAACCACCGCAGGGCTGTGGCCGTGACACCAACATTGAACAGGATTCCGCTCGGTGCAGGGCCTTGGGAAGACACATGAAACGTGATTTTTTCACATTCTAGTACTATATTACAGCACACAATATCATGGTTGGAAAAGCCACATGCTTTCCTGGACATCCATTTCTTCACTGAAAATAAACTCGCTTCTGCATTTGAATCTGTCCTATCAGTCCTTTCCCAAACGACCAATCCCGATATAACAGATTTCGAGGTTTTTTTTTGCCGGGAAACGTTCTCAAGCTTGAGAAATTTCGAATTTGTCTAGTTTTGGGGTATGTATGAAATAGGGTTATCGGCCTGGTCGAGCAGTGAAGGCTTCTTCCACATCCCTTGAATTATTTCATATGAAAGGTTATCAGTTTGGCAATGCCCTGCCGCCAGGAGAATGGAAACAATGCGATAGAATGCGTCCCGGGTGGTAGGGATCATTTTTCTAAGTGCTAGAAAATAGCCGACATCGATACGAAAATCGGCCTCAAAGTCGACATGGACGTCTTGAACAGGTGAGATCTTTCAATATATCAATGGAGAACACCCTAATTTAGCCTAAAGAATATATGTATAGTGTTTCTAAGCTTCTAACCCTTGTGTGCTCAAGTGAAAATTGAACATATTTGGACGTGAATATATCACCACACAAAACCTTTATTTTTCAATGGGTATACAGTATACAACCACCATACAAACACGAGCAGGAGAATGAATAGACAGGAGAAGAGTTGGTTTCCCATTGCTGCTCAACAAAGAGAAGCACATACTAAAACTTGAATTGGATTAAAAGTATTTACAATTCACAATTACATGTATCACTTTCTGCGATGTAACACTTGCGGCGAGGAAATGTCTGTCGCGCACTGTCGCAAGCAGTTGTAGGGCCACTGTCCCAGAAGTTGGCAAAAGCATAACTCTTGCCAAGCGCATTGTACACAAATGGAGTGCAGTTCACTAGGCTGGGTGCACGTGAGGGTACTACGCACTGCACTTAGATGCCGCAGAAACAAAACAGATTGTGAGTCATCTGTCGCGATTGCAGCTCATCGCAGGTGTTGCATGTTGCGCATTGTGGAAAGCAGTTCATGTATTGGGAATTGAGCTTCAGTAATAACAGAAAGAGGATCCCAGAGGATGACCGACACCGCTGACAAACACTCTTCTACGCAAAGTTTTGATGACGATGCTTGATTGAGACGTTAACCTGCAATGGAAAATAAACAGCAGATGATACTGATTATAAATAAGGTACGGATTATACCACGAGTATGAGGGGTATACGGCGAATATTTTCGAGAGTGTGTTAGGACGAGGGACAATTGGGGGATTCGGTATACACAGAGTGCGAATGGTATAATCCAGTTGCATGGTACTTTCCTAAATACAGAGCGTGACCAACACGAAAGCTTAGCTCTCATTCGAAGGGGCGCAACGGGATGCGACGTAAGGATTGACGGGAACCGACGGAACGGTTATGACGCCGACAGACAGCGTCCAATGTGAACACCAGGAACGGGAATGCAACTGTTCTACCCTACAGATTGGGAAGCGAGGGGAAGAGTTGGATCAGTTCAACTTTTCAGACCGTAGACTGGGACGCAAGCGTACAAAACAACTGCATTCGAGTGTGAACAGGGGATGTGTCGTGCGCTGACCCCTCCCGATGCGCACAACAGCACACTTAGGTTTTTTAAACATTTCGAACACGGTCAACACTACGCTTCCCATGATAACTCGCCGAATGGCTAGCACAACTGATTCAAATTTTAGGAAGATAAGATTTCGTGTCACTTCTTGAAAATTGCAATAGATGCTACATGTCGTGTCATACTACATGACATTGTTGTGTCTTACGAATCGTACAAGATTTTACAGCTCACCCCGGCCGTCCCAACAGGCCCTTACGTTCCATACCGTCAGCGTTACGTCGAATGTGAACTAGGCTTAAAGTTTCCTTATTCTCGAAGTGACCCATGTGAACCGAGCGGGATATATCGCTGAATATATCCTGCTTAGAACGGCCGCTGATTGGCAAATGGTGTTATATTCGAGACGAGTTTTATATCACTCAACTTCATATCACAAATGCTGGCGCACTTACATGAGGAAGGAACGGATCCATACACGTGCACACATCAAATACTCTGCCAACAGCCAGTCAGCGATGATTACAAATATACAGTGCAGCAACCCTGGACAGCAAGAAAGAATGTACACACCAGAGAGCCTGAAAATAAAGTTATACTCCGCTGAACGATTCGCATACAAGAATATTGGTGGCGAAAGGCAAAGTGAGAACAAGTCTAGATCACTCAATTAGACAGAACAATCTTGAGTGTACACTTACACGAGAAAAGGACGAATCCATAGGCGTGCATACAATGCATACATGGCATTTTGAATACGCCGCCAGCATCAAGGCGGTGGGAACTACAACTGCATGCATACAGTGCAGCAGCCCTAGCAACATCTCACTAAATGTAGAAGATATAGCGGGCAGATGATTACAGTTATAGGACAGATATCATTTTATGGTGCATGCCATTACAAGAACAAGCATTTATTATGGAACGGATGGTACCAATACGGCGAAATGTCTACGGATTCAAGATAAATCACAACAGACTTAAGCAAGAACATGGTAAAACTGAGCAATGGACTGGCACATTCAAGACTGATTCATACTTCATTAATTTTCATGAACACAATGCGCACAGGCGAAGGTCGCGCGATGGACCAAACAAGTAACTCAACTCGAGATCAAGTCAACTTTCTCGCTGCAAACGGCCATTGTGACGTGGTTCCCTTACGCAAAGCGAAGTGTGAATGAGGCTTTACTCTACATATCCAAAACTGTATTATAATGTTGTGCATTGTACTTGCCAAATGTGTGTGATACTCTATGTAACATACATGTAGATAGGGCCAAGCAAGCACAGCAAGTTCTTAATTTTAGGTATTTGGAGCTCGTGAACAGATCAGATTTGTCTTGTAAGTGATAGGTATTGCTTACCTCTATATGTTGCCGCCTTCGTGCTGGCCGAAAATGCTGCGTGCTCTGGTGATAATTCGGCTTAAAATTAGGTGCATAAAAATGCCAATTTCAGCTTCGTTCGCAACATTTTCGATATACGTCTCCTCTACGAAACTTCACTAAAAATATATCTGCCGAAAGAGCGTCCCGTCAAGAATACATGGTGTGAAATAAAACGAGGTGGTGCAAAGTAAAACGACGTAGGCCATGTAAAACGGCTTCCATCTCTCAGAACCAATTTAGGACAGTTCTCAAATTTGAGAACATTTTTTCGCTTTCGCGGCAAAAATCAGTCAAGAATCTGTTATATCGGGATTAGTGGGAGAGGTTTTTTTTTGCGCGTCTGGGGAAGGACTGTACGTGCTAATTCAATGTTGTTTTGTCTCCTACAAAAGAGAATGTGGTCGACCTTACTTGTCATTTACAAATGTTTGTGTCCAGGTGAATGCATGAGAGAAACAGGGGCTGTTTGTGTGTGCATGAGTGTGTGTGTGTGTGTGTGTTTGTGTGTGTGTGTGTGTGTGTGTGTGTGCCGCCGAATTAGTCCTTTCGCTATCAATGGACAAGTTCAAGGTTCAATGTGTGTGTGTGTGTGTGTGTGTGTGTGTGTGTGTGTGTGTGTGTGTGTGTGTGTGTGTGTGTGTGTGTGTGTGTGTGTGTGTGTGTGTGTGAGTGTGCATATGTCTGTTCGTGTGTGTTTGCATATGTCTGTTCGTGTGTGTGTGTGTGTGTGTGTGTGTGTGTGTGTGTGTGTGTGTGTGTGTGTGTGTGAGTGTGCATATGTCTGTTCGTGTGTGTCCATGTGTGTATGGGCAAGTGTGCACTGGTACTTGCATGTGATGTACACGTGTACGTACGTAAGCTCAGTAGGCACGCCTTTCTGCATGAGCGGAAACTTGTAGTCACTCATGACGTACCATAATTCCCGAATATAAGTGGCACCTTTTTACACTATACTTCTTGGAGGCAGAAGGGAGTGGCCTTATAATCGAGTATAACATCCTAGCAATGTGACTATTTTGAAACACACAGCCCGAACGCGAAAAGGGTAGAGTGACTTATAAACGAGTGTGACTTTATAAATTTCATGGAAAATATCCAATATGGTACCGGTAATCGTATTCCCAAAATCCGTACGCGATGATAATTCCTCACATCCTGATCTCGTCTCCTTTCCCTACAGGCTACTCTGTGTTCACCTGGCCGATGTTCCCGTTTGTCGGCATCACTATAACCGCAAACGACCCTCTTCTAGCAACGGTCAACGTGTCTTTGCCGACGGTTAACCCAGCGGCAAATCTGAGAGTGCAGATCGGTCAAGCTCACGGCGGCAGCAATCTATCGTCGATCGTCACGTCCGCCAGCACCGTAGCACTAAGAAATGTCACAGCAGGGGACTTCTACTTCCGTGTCGCATCGACAAGCAATTCCTCGGCTGCTTACTCTCAGAAAGTGTTCTTCCATATCTCACGTAAGTTATCAGTTGGTGCTTGAGATCTTTAAGGGAAGGTGAGGGGTGGGAGGAGGGTAGGGGGGGGGGGGGAGAGGGGGGGGGGGGGGTGGTAGGTGATGTTCCGAGACCAAATCCATTGTCAACATTCTGCTGAGGGTTGCTTGTGTGTGTAGCATTATGGGTGCACGCAGCTTCGTGCTCCCGCTCGAACTATACTGCTGTGTTTGATAGTGCTGTTGCTACACGCTTTGCTTCTGCCTACGGTTGTGTGCACCGCGCGTCACGGTGACCATGTCGTCCAAAAAACATGGTGCATGCACGTGTGGTACTCTGTGCAACGTGGCAATCTACATGACATTGAACAAGACACTCAACGTGGCATTCATATGTGGCGCTCACCCTTGATGCGGGCGGCATGCAACAGGGCATTCAACCTGACATTTATTTAACCCTTTACCGTTTGTACATACAAATTTCGACTGCTCGCGGTCGAAGACATCAATGCGCACAGCGCTGACCTGGTTCACCGCAAAGAGCTGGGATATTCCCTACTGGTAGTGAAGATGTACGCGCAGAGTGTGCTGACACTTTTGTGTGTGATGCAGTATAAAAAGGAATTCGGGTGGACACAGTATGAAACTCGGATGTTGAGATGCTGTGCTTAACATGCACACTCGTAATCACTCATATTCCATCCATTGCTTTATCGTAATGTATTTGTTTGTATCTGGAAGCACAGTCACGAATTCTAGCACATTGCACTTACCTGTTTCTGGCTTATTTTGAGAATAAATGCTTCCCATTTACCACAGTAAGCACCTTCACGTAAATACAATCCATATGATATGCACATCGATTTATTTGTCAGATCTGGATTAGAAAAACTCCCGATAAGACAAACAAAGTTGTTCAGTGACTTCAAGTTCGTCCTTACGAGGTTTGACTGTGCATGTGTTGCCCTATGGCAAGAATAATGATGGGTTGCTAACTCCACTTACCCTGCCATGCATGGCAACTTTTATGTTTCTGTCTTTAATCCCCCCCCCCCCCCTCCCTCCTTCACACACACACACACACACACACACACACACCTGGTTTTTTCCTGGTAAACACTGCCATTACGGTCACGTGTCCCCTTACGGGGCCGACAATATAAAACGACGAGTGGGACCATGTTCGAGAGAGCCATCTCCAGCAGCTATGGATCTGGCTTATCATCGAAAACGATTCCTCTCACGGCTGCCGCTAGAAGTGGTCCATCACTCTCCACAACAGAGCGAACATTCCATGAGCCAACGCTCAGAGTCGTTCCAAGTCGTCGTCTTCGTGCGGTAGTTTGCTCCACTCGCGGGCTTGCAAAGCCTCGCAAAGGACTCTGAGGTCGGGGCGACGAGGAGAGTGTCTGCATCGTAACTATCCGACCAAGTCTCCTGTCGGTGAATACCCCACCTCAGGCACTGTTGGCCTGGACGGCTGGGGACACCCCAGGCCGTTCACAACGGCACACACACACACACACACACACACACACGCACGCACGCACGCATGCACGCACGCACACACACACACACACACACACACACACACACACACCTTGACCTTGACCTTGATACACGTTGCCTGGATAGGTTACACGGTTCCCGTCGGGGAGAGGGGTGGAAGAGGCTGAGGAGCAGCACTTCTGATGGCGCACTAGATGGTGACGTAGTCGGAACTTCCTTTGGCAAGGGCACTCAAACGGGAAGTTGGCCCTTCCCGACACTGTCCTTCATTTCTTGCGGTCGCACTTGTGTCTGGCCAAGCCGCTACTGAACATGAAACTTCGTGGCAGGTGCTGCACTGCGGAGTGACCGGGTTGCCGGGGTGCTCGATGTTGGGAGCAGGTCCGTGATCGCATCGATGGGTAGCCAATCCACCGGGGCTGCGGAACCAACGTTGGCAGAGACGACACTGGCAAGCGCCAGCCTGATTACACACTGGTTTCTGCCG